CCCCCCCCCCCCCCCCCCCCCCTCCCCACACGTCTAGGACTAAAAATTCAGAGAGTGAACAATATAAAGTCGGGAATTCAACACCAAAAATAATGAATTGAGATGAATTTGACTTTGATGTCAAATATATTGAAAACAAGGGTAAAATCAATAGGTAAAACTTTGAGTAAGAGAGGATTTTTTTAACTGCTCAATTCAAATTGCTAAAACCAAAAAGACCTAGCTCTTTCCGAGAGAAGATACAAGGAAAATAAGTACGAAAAATACGTAATTAAAAAATAGCAAGCATTAATATCTCACGAAAGCTTAGCACTTTTCATTTAAAAATGTTAGGATTGATCTATGAATAAACAAATAAATTGGCATATGTATAAATTGTTGATAATTGAATTGTAGAAACAAATATAGTTCCACCTCCAAAGCTAGCATTTATCTTTGAATAAACAAATGAATTGGCAAGTGTATAAAATTATTGATATTTGAATTGTACAACTAAATATAGTTTCGCATATCCCCAAAGTAAATGAAATACTAAATTAGGTGTTACCTAAAGCCACAAGATTCAAGTAAACCCTCTAGTTATCTGTATGTGTGTCTATTTTGCTTTAAGAAGGAATCCGAGCGAGATTCTAAATAAAAACCTTTCAATTTTTACTAATTCTCTTATTGTTATTTTGTGTACTTGACAACAACAGTGAGGTTTGTCAGCGACAATTTTGTTAAGGATACAATCAAGAGAGATCCCTTCATTTTTTTTATTCCTAATTAAATGTGAATAACATCAATTGATAATCGAAAAATTATCATTATCATGAACAACACCCCCATATTTTATTTGTGAAATTTGAAATTTGATGATAATAAATTAATAATTACTCTCTCCATTTAATTTTATTTGTTCACTGTACTGAAAATTAATGTCCATTTTAATTTGGTCATATGAAAAATCAAGAGATAACTTGTCATTTACTTCTTAATTTTTCTTTATTATTTAAGTATAGTCATTTCCCAAAATATCGAAGCTATTGCAGTCAAAAAGTGATAAAGTAAAATTGACATTATATCTATTGCTCTTTAAGAAAAGTGCCAAGTCAATATTAGATTAGTAAATAGCCAAAAAAGGATTTAAATTATGGGGATTGAAACTGGTTATTTATGAAATTTCTATTTGTGAATTCATAAACAACATCCACTAATCACTTTTGTTGTTGTTTTTGAAATTACTGTCATAAAATTCAATTGTCATAAAATTCAATTTTCATAAGTGAAATTCCAAAATTTTACATCTACAATTTAAAACTTCATAACATTGATCAACTTTTTTATTACTAGAATAATTGAAAAGTGACTATTTTGTAGTTCTCTATTTATGAATTCTAAAATAGCATTTACTTATTACTTTTATGTAATTTGTTCATAGGTTTCGAATTTCACGAGCAAAATTCTATGACAATATTCGAAGTTTTACCATGAACTATCACGGTGCAACTCTACAATTATGGCTATATTTTAAATCAAAGTGGCTATATGTGATTCTCTATTTGTAGTTTTGTTCATAGGTTTCGAATTTCACGAGCAAAATTCTATGACAATATTCGAAGTTTTACCATGAACTATCACGGTGCAACTCTACAATTATGGCTATATTTTAAATCAAAGTGGCTATATGTGATTCTCTATTTGTAGTTTTGTTCATAGGTTTCGAATTTCACAAGCAAAATTCTATGACAATATTTGAAGTTTTACCATGAACTCTCACAGTGCAATTAGAAACTCTACAATTATGACTATATTTTAAATCAAAGTGGCTATATGTGATTCTCTATTTGTAGTTATGAAATAACACTTACTACTACTTTTATTTGATTTTATTTCATAGATTTCAAATTTCACGGGTAAAACTTTATGACAATATTCTTAAGTTTCTTTATGAACTTTCACTCGGTGCAATTTGAAACTCTAGGATAGCGGCTATCTTTTTAATGAGAGTGGTTATTTTTCACTAATAACAACATTTATATATAGGATATGTCTCCAACTGTAATTTGAAAATATGCAATGGCCCTTCCCGCCTTTAATGTCACTGCCGCCACCACTCCGCCATCTCTGTCGCCGCCGCTGCAACTCCCCCAGTTCCATAATAAAAACTCCGCCTCCGCCTCCGCCGCCACCTACCGCAGCAATAATGACTCTACAGCTTCATGGACCTCGTTAATTGCCCGTCACTGCAAAAACGGCCGTTTAATCGAGGCGGTTTCCGAGTTCACTCGCATGAGGAATTCCGGTGTTGAGCCTAACCACATTACCTTCGTTACTCTTCTCTCCGGCTGTGCTCATTTTCCTGCTCAAGCTCTGTCTCTTGGCTCTGCTCTTCACGGGTATGCTCGAAAACTCGGGTTGGATACTCAGAATGTGAAAGTGGGTACTGCTGTTATTGACATGTATTCGAAGTTTGGACTTGTGGGGCTTGCGAGATTGAGTTTTGATCATATGGGTGTTAAGAATAAGGTGACTTGGAACACCATGGTTGATGGTTACATGAGAAATGGGGATTTCAAGAATGCGGTTAAGGTGTTCGATGAAATTACTGAGAGAGATGTTATCTCCTGGACGGCTTTGGTTGGTGGATTTGTCAAGAATGGGCTTTTTGAAGAAGGTTTAGTGTGGTTTCGAGAAATGCAGTTATCTGAGGTTGAGCCTGATTATGTAACTATGATTTCAGTGCTTTCGGCTTGTGCTAATTTGGGTACTCTTGGTATAAGCCTATGGTTACACCGGTTTATCCTGCGACGTGAATTTAAGGACAATGTTCGTGTTAATAACTCGTTAATCGACATGTATTGTAGGTGTGGATGCATAGAATTGGCGTGCCAGGTGTTCGATAGAATGACCGAGAGAAGCTTAGTTTCGTGGAATTCAATCATTGTTGGATTAGCAGTCAATGGACATGCGGTAGATGCGCTACAATATTTTGAGTTGATGCAAAATGAAGGTTTTCTACCGGATGCGGTGACCTTTACAGGAGTTCTCACGGCATGTAGCCATGCTGGTTTAGTCGAAAAAGGGTTGAAGTATTTCAAATCAATGAAGAGAGTTCATAGGATTACTCCTAGGATTGAACACTACGGGTGTATCGTCGACCTTTACAGTCGTGCTGGAAGACTGGAAGATGCTTTAGGCATTATTAAGAATATGCCCATGAAGCCAAATGAAGTTATATTGGGGTCTATATTAGCTGCTTGTCGAAATCTCAGTGATGTAAAATTAGCTGAAAGGCTAATGCATTATATCTACAAATTGGATCCGGATGGAGATTCAAATCACGTGCTGCTTTCTAATATATATGCTGCAGTGGGAAGTTGGCGTGGAGCTAGTACTGTGAGGAAGAAAATGAAGGCACTCGGGATTCAAAAGAGACCGGGAATTAGTTCCATTGAGGTTGATGGTGTCCTTAATGAATTTGTGGCCGGAGATAGATCACATGTACATGCAGAGCAGGTTTACGCAATGCTTGAGCATTTGTCAGGTGAGTTAAAAGTGTCTGGATATGTTGAAGATGATTTTAGTGAATTATATGAATGTAGTTAATTACTTTCATATTTGTACAACATACACATCACTATAAAGAAGAGTAAATTTTTGCTTTGGACTTAGCTGATTAAGTTAAGTAGTTGAACTTGTATTTAATCATTTGAAATGTCACAAGGTTAAAGATTAAGCTTTTCTATGTCAATTAAAAAGGACTTACAATAGGTCCTATACATGTGTCTAGGACTAAAGTATTTTTTGTCTCTTCTTTCTCAAGTGATTCGGAAACAACCTCTCAAGATTCACAAGGTAGGGGTAAGGTTGCGTACATACTACCCTTCCCAAACCCCACGACCCCACTTGTTGGACTACAATGTGTGTTTGTTGTTGTTGTTCCTCAACTGATTTTGTCTCTTCTCACTAGGACGTACTGTCAGAGTTTGGCTTGTCGGTAAAGGATTTCCCCATATCGACAAGCCAAATTCGGACGGAATCCGTCAAAAATTTCCATAGGAGATTTCCTTGAGAAATTAGCAATTTTTTAGTAGTGTCTCTTTTTTACATCATCTTTTATCAGCTTGAAGAACCAATATCCAACAAATTAACCCTTGAGCTCCAAAAGCATTCTTTGGATCGATGACATTGAGAGTACAGCAAAAACTAATGTTCATTCTTGAGTTTTCTTAGTACTAGTAATAAAAAGGACAACTTTTGCATCAAACTATATACATATCAGGGAGACATGAAATCCTAATATTCCAACTTGGCTAGCCTAAAGCCTATGCCCATACTTACATTTTTGTTTCTTTTGTTTTTTCCTTTCTGTTGGGCCAAAAACAACAAAAACAGAAACATGAAACCATATACTACCCTTTACTAAAAACTTGAACATAGAGCTAAAACAAAATTAATATTGCATGATCATGGAGTCTTAGGTTTCTTAGGACTAGCACCATTGTGATGCAATGGATCAGGACCAGCTGGAACTCCTCTTAGCTCCCAATCAGCAAACTTCTCATTAATCTTCTCTGCATGCTTGTAGTATACCTTTCCAAATGCAGCCCACTGTTTTTCTAAAACCTGCATGCACATATAGTTTTAAAGGATTAGTACTTAGTCATGGAAATCTAAGCGATGATTCACTTGTCCCCTTGTCCAACCCACTTTCACTCTTTTTACAGCCTTATGAACATAGGAAAGAAGGAATGTAACAAAACAGGCACATATAGCTAAAAAATTAATACTTGGTCAAGGAAATCAAAGTGATGATTCACTCGTCCCCTTGTCCATAGAGACTTCGTGTCATTCAACCGAAACAACTCCCCCTAGATAGCCGCTCCCTTTATCTCCTTTTTACAGCCTCGTTGACGTGCAAAAGAAGGAAAGTAACAATACGGGGGACATATAGTTTTAAGAATTAATACTTAGTCATAGAGATAAAAGCGATGATTTACTCGTCCCCTTGTCCATAGAGACCTCTCATGGCATACAACCAAGACAACTTCCCTTATATAGCCACCCCTTTTGATGAACGAAATAAGGAAAGTTACAATAAACATAGCAGTAAAGGCTTGCGAAGTAGCCTCTAACCTTCTTATTTTAACCAGGTAAGCTATAATGAATAGACAATAGTAAAAGATAGTATGAGAATAAGATGAAAAGTTAAGAACCTTTCTGTTTAGGGGTTTCACAGGAGCAACTTCCTTTAGAGAGAGACCATGAGATTCTTGAATTACTAAAAAGCAGATCAGCAAGACCAAGAGAGTGAAATGTTTGGTATTGATCGAAGACATTTTTCAAGAAGAAAATGAAAAGCAAGTTCTTGATCTAAGTGAGTTAAAGAAACAAAATGGATCAAAGTTATTGAGTGCATGAGAAGTGAAGTTAGTAACAGCCAATTTATAGAACAAAAGAAAATGATGAGCCATGCAGCCATTATTGTATATCATAAGTATACTTTTTATGATATGACAGTGCAGTTCTGAAATCCTCTACATGCTGAGGCAATACATAAAGATGAGCTCATCTCAGTAAATATTTGATTCTTTCAATTTTACTTTGCTCAAAGAAAATAGTTAGGGGCTTTGGTTAAAGGGATTAGATGGATTATTTTGGTATAAATAATGAGATTAAATTTATCTTGTGTTTGGTTTGAGTTAACAATAACAACGACGACAACATATCGGTGTAATTTCTCAAGTGGAGTTTGAGGAGGGTGAGACACCTTACCCCTTGCCTTTATAGGGTAGAGAGGTTGTTTTTTGTTTGAGTTACTTATTAGTTAAAATCAGTATTAATTTTATATCAACATTTTGGTATATAACTTATCTCATATAGAAGGTGGTTATCTAGATTAATCCTGGTTTTGACCCAAATGAGGGAGATAAGGGGTTCTTGGGATAAATTGTGGGTATTTTATTCCATGTTTGGTACTTCTTTGTTAAGTTTACATGACATATATTTCATTTTAGTTTGTTCTAAATAAAAAAAGATTAGTAAAAACAATAAACTAATGCGATAATCAAAAGACAAAAAATAACATGTAGTAACAGAAATACGAAACACAAGAAACTATGAGAATACTGCTAATATACTACTTTTATGAAAGAAAAAATAGCTACAAAACACCAAACTATCACCAATTTCAGTAGTAGGATAGTGAATTTCAAATATTAAATGGTTAAATTAGATACAATTTGGACAATATTTGATTAAAGTATAGAGACCAATATTGTATTAAAAAAAATTAAACTTAGAAAAAGGATTATATTTGGCATCAAACTGTACTTAGTAATTCTGTAATGAAAGTACTAGTATAAACCAATGATAATTAAGATATTGTGACGTAGTGATCATATAATAGTACTATATTGGTAGCTGCACATAAGACCCATACAACTCTCAGTTTTAGTTATGCTAATTAGATTCCCACCAAGTACTGAACTATGGGATCTCTTTCACTGTCACTTTCTCTCTCTATACCATATGTTTAAAATTTGTGTCTAATCAATTATCGACAATAACATATTTAGTATAATATTATAAATAAAATTTGGAGAAAGTAGATGTACGCAAACTTTATTTGTATATTTGTAAGGTAGAGACGTTGTTTGTGATGAACTTTGGATCAAAGAAATTATTTTTTATCACAGTTTGAAAAAATATATCAAAGTAATTATGATGAAAATAATGAAGAAAGAAAAGTACCGAAATGTGCTCCGGATTAGAATTATGTTCCTTCACTAGAAAGAAAGAAGTCGCTCGACTACTTATTTATGTCTATCTTAATCATCGACCTTCATGCTCTCATAGCTAGGTTCATGTTCTCATTCAATTAAAAATATGAAAGGTCTCTCTACCTCTTCTCAGACCAATCACCGTCAACTTCTTGAACCTCTTCATTAGAGCCTAGCATTTGAATTACTTCTTCACATATTTGAATTATCTCGATTTTTATTTTCACATCTTATCCTTATAAAGGCAACTTTCGCATTGCCTCCTTATACATCTATATATCCTTCTAACCATCCTTTTTTATGTTATCTTCATCTACTGAACATTAATTTCTTTTACTAATGAAACACTCAACCTCATACGACCATACAACATAGTCAAAGCCAATTTATAGAACTTACTTTTAAATTTGATCGAATAATAACACATAAATTAAAACGAAGAAAATAATATATATATATATATATATATATATATATTTTACTGCAATAACAAGACAGAGTGACGGCTTGTTGTCTGAAAATAACTGCACCTACTCTATCTTATCACAAGAATATATTGATAGTAGGACTTTTTCATGCAAAAGGACACCTGCCCAACCCAATAGGAAAATTTGAGGATAAATTTTTGACATTTGAAGTATAGTAGCAGTAGTAAATATATTGCTGACAATATCTTAAAAGAAGTGTAATCATTACTTAGATATGATTATTCTCTTATTTCCTTCGTTTTAATTTGTTTATCTAATCTTTAATTTGATATTAAGTTTGAAGTTATTGTTATCATATGATCAATTAATTAGAATCAGGGATGGAGCTATCCTTGTTTGAGGAGTGTCAAACGATACATTTTCGTCGGAAAATAATTACAAGCCAAGTCAAATTTTGATTATATCTTTATATATATATTAATATTGACATTTAGTGACACAAGGTAAAGAGTTAACACAACAGATAAGGGGCTACAAAAAGTCTCAATGGTCGGTTGTTCGATCCTAGCTCAAGTTTTAACTTCAGCGTTGTTCTTTTATATTTTTAGACGATAAATTATATTGTCTAATTTTGACAGCTCTCGATTAAAATTTTAAATCCATCACTAAATAAAATATATAGAAAAATGTACAGAAAAAATTATTTCATCGGACTTTAGTATGAATATCAAATATATAACAAAATAATAAGGAAAAAAAAATGGGAGCTATATTACTTATTAGCATCATATCAAGATCTATGGTTGATTCATGATATAATATATACTAGTACCTTTTGCAGCTACTTGCACTGCTGGATTCTCTAATATAAACATCACATCAATAAGTCAAGGAAACAAAAAAGTTCACAATCGATTGATCTAAAAAAAAAAAAAACTTTCATTTTAAAAAGAATATTTATTTATTTTTTAGCATTTTTTAAATTAATTTTATATATTATGTATTTAAAATTACAAGATTATATGATATTATGATATTTTTGATGTGTCTTTAATTTAATATCACAAAATTTATAAATTATTTTTATTTTCTTAAATTTTATACTAAATTAAAATAAGATAAATAAATTAAAACGAGTAGTTAGAAAATTGGATAACTCATAATTAACCAGAAAGACAGAGTAGAGACCTTTAGTTGATGCTTTGGATTGACCTTCTGAAACACTAGCCAGCTATTAGACGGCTTTACTGTCACTTTCATTTTTTTATTTTTTATTTTAAATTTACGTTTTTTTTATAATTAATTTCATTCGATATTTGGTACCTACGATGGAATATAATCAATTTGGATTCTCGTTGCGTAGGGCCCCTTATCATAGACTTGAATCTAAGACTTCTGATTAAAGGAGAAACATTCTCATAGTAGCGGAGCAAGAATATCGACTAAGATGTGTCAAAATATTAAGTAAAATCGTGTAGATGTGTCAATA